ATGGTTAAGCATTTACAGAAACTCATTCACACTCAAGTGCCATTAGTCAATCAATCAGTTAACATCTATAAATGGCAGATATTAAATCTCTTCCTTTTTTGATGAGAGTGTATGTGGGGGGGGTGGGGGTGGAGGAGATGGTAGAAAGTAACTTAGAAATTCAATGCTTCTGCATATGTGGGTGGAATTACCATTGAGAGGGGGTTAGGAGGAATATAAATGGAAGGTTGGGGATCTAGAAGACAATGAAAAAACTTCACTGATTCATTCACCTTCTCTTCACCAGGTTGCATGTGAAATTCAGTTCCAATTTGATTCCACTCTTAGGACATGGGGTTCAAAGCGCATAATCTACAGATGATTAACCAGTAATGTGATTATGTTTGAAAAACAAAATATCACTCACAAATTCTGTAGAAAAGAGAAAATAGATCCCTTCAGTTTACATTTGAAGAGATGTGAAGCAGAGTTCTATGTTGTGTGGTGTCTGAGGGTATCTGTGGTGACCATGGTATCTGAGGGTCTTGCAGCTGCTCTTGGAATAGATACCTTCACACATTGTTATCTGCTTTTATCTTTACTCCAAATCTTAGGGCAAACAAATTTCATAGTAATAAAAATAATAACAGGTAACATTTTTTGAACAAAGTAATGTGCTATGAAAAGCTACTTGGATTGCATTATTTAGTTTTCAAACAAATTGTGGAGAATTCAGCATCATAGTAAAAACACTGTTCTTAACAAATTATAAAAATTATGGAGCAGGCATATGGAATAGACATATATGGAGTAGAATTGATCATGGTACACAGATAAGTCATAGCTGTGTGTAAACAAACTGATATATTCTTGTCATAAAAATAAAAGTGACAGTTTTTTAGAAATAATTTTATTTTTGAAATTCATTATTGAGTAGAGCCAGTATATAGTTCCACCTATAATATAAAAATAATTTTTAGTCAATGCAAGATAATTTAAAAATTCTGTAATGTCCATTAATTTTAGCTCCCAAATCTGTCCTGGTTTATATGATCAATTATATAATTATGCTACCTATTTAAAAGGCATTACTACCCATCCAGTGAACCAAAACATACACCTGGAGGTCATTTGACCCTTTTTATGTAAACATCCAGTCACTAAGTAATTATGATTTTAACTAAGTTTCCACTTTTCTATCACTACCTGAGTTCAAAGCTTTAGCATTTCTCTCCAAAATTGCTTTGAAAGACTTCTGTCTGGTCTTATTCCCCAACTTTTATCCTTTTAATCCACCGTCCACAGTGCTGTCAAAGTGATAACTGCATAAAATCCTTTGAAAGTTATCAATTTTCTACAAAATAAAGTTAAAGCTTTCTGGCATAGGTGGATTTTTGCCTCTCCTCCATACCTTTTTTCTTTCCTCTGTGTACTCTTTCCTCCAGATACTCTTTGGCTATATCTATGTATCAAATACATTATCTTCCTTCAGTACATGAGACAGGACATGGAATTTGCTCAGCCTCTTATAATGCTTTTCACCTCTTTTTTTGGCTTGGCTCTCTTAGCAGAAGGTGCATTCCTTTACCATAGCACTTTACATACTGCACTATAATCATGGATTTGCTGTCTTCCTCTCTTAACTGTGTTTCACTAGAACGGGAGGGTTTCCTTTGGGAGTCATCGGCACTATTCTCAATGCCGATGACTCCCAAATCTATACAGCAGTCAAAAACTGAACTAGCATTCCTCACAAATCTTTTCTACCTCTGCTTCATATTTACCCAAACTACATGTCAATGCCCTCAGAACTTCACACATCTCTGAATCACTACTCACCCTCTTATATTTAATTAGTTTTCATTGTATTATCGCCTTAAAATATTTTTTGAAAGTATGCCTTCCTCCCCATTTCTACTGCTAAGGTAATGCTGCCAGCAGTGTGTAATGACATCCCCATCCCCCAAAATGTGTATGTATATATGCGCACACAGAAATATACATGTTTATTATAAATTTTATCTATATAAAGCATATGTAGCACCAGTTTAAAAGTATAAAAAAATGCATTATGCTCTTTACTGTAAATTCCATAGATCTAATTGATTCTCACAGAATGCTTTTGTTGATATTTGCTAAACTTTTGTACCCATAGCCAACCAACTTACGGTTGCAACTAATGACAACTGTGATTCTGATATAAACCTTCTGAAAAAGTAAAGACATAAGTTGGAACTTTACTTACTCAATAATGACATGAACAACTTCTGGATAATTTTTATTAGAATTATAGTGTATAAAGTTTTGAGCTATTCACAATGGAATAACTAAAGGTATGACATACTTTTAAGTTGAATTTACCTTATTATAATTTTCTCCATTATTTTCTTAAATCTAGAAAATCAATTAAACAAATCATCATGATTGTGATTTTAGCATTTGTCAATTGCTGTAGTGTAAATATTCCAATCCTGACTGATTTCAAGCTACCACCATAAAGTCACTAAACACTGAGTTGGGAAGAGGTGTACAACAGTACACCATTTCATATTATTTGCATCTTACAGATACATATAACCCCAAAGGCATAGATAATAGTAAAATAAGTATTCAGTGAGCAGTTTTGAGTATTTATTACCTCTATTTAAAATGTAAATCCTTTAATTATAAACATAGGTAATTTAATTTTTAATAATGATTGTATGTAAAAACTGACTCACAAAAATCCTGAAAATTTAGCATGTGGCTCTCACGAGCCAGTGCAGGCTGACTCCCGGCCAGCATGGCTTGTCATTCACCAGCCTGTGTGATGATGTCCTAAGTTGACCCTTGTTTTCCCATTCTAGGAAGCCATCTCAGATATAGTTTCAGACTACATGTGGATGCAGGACTCCTATTCACACACTCAGAATATCTCCCATTATTAAGAGAATAAAGTCTGAACTTTATAGTGATTGTCCTTAAGGAAACCAGATCTGGACCTTCCAAATATTTCTCACCACTCAACTTCATGTTATAATTGACCCTAATATCACTTAAATTCTTACTATTTACAAGATACTTTTTATATTCTTTTTTTAAAAATATGTTTTTTATTGATTTCAGAAAGGAAGGAAGAGGGAGAGATAGAAACATTAATGATGAGAGAGAATCATTGATCGGCTGCCTCCTGCAGAGCCCCAATCTGAGGATCAAGCCTGCAATCTGAGCATGTGCCCTTGACCAGAATTGAACCCGGAGCCTTCAGTCCGCAGGCTGATGCTCTATCCACTGAGCCAAACCTGCGAGGGCACTTTTTATATTCTTATGCTGAATTTTTTGTGTTGGATTTCTTTCTCTCCATTCCTGCATTCCCAAATTCTATATACTGCATACTACAAGATCATTTAAAAATTTAAATTCTGTCTGAAATGTTTTTCTCTTTTTATCTGGCTGGAAATAACTTTTCCCTTTGTTCCTTCTCATTTAACACTTCATGTGTGCCTCATTTACAGCCCTCGTATTCTACCTTGTATGCAATACATTTTTATTGCATGTCTATGATATATAAGGGACTATTTTCAAAGTAATTTAAAAAAGTATAACAGAGAAAAAACATCCTAGAGAGATCTTTGAGAGGGAACCTAACCTTGGGGTAAGGAAAAAAGGAGCATGTAGTGATGGAATCAGAGAAGTAGGAAGAGAGTTGGGAAACTATAGGGGTCCAAGAAACCTGGTAAAGAGAAAATGTCAAATAGGATCTTATCAATAGAGATGGAGAAGTTGCAATATTTGAGTATTTTGTTTGAAACCAGCCATCTACATGGTATTTAGATTGACATAGGTCATGACAGATCACAGTAAAAGATAGAGCATATGATGTAAATGTTCTCATAAAAGAAGCAGGTGTTTATTTTACCTTCCAGAATATTGTAGGTTTGGCCAGTACTACCAATCCCTAATCAAATTTTAGAGGTTTACATTTAGAATGTCTTGAAAGAATTACAAATGTAGACTGTAAATTCTGAGAATGGAAGAATCCTTGAAAGAATTTGCATGCCAAGTAATGCAAAATCAATTCCAGGAAATGTTAAAGTAGTTGGCAACTTCTGGAATTAGCTGATCTCTATTCACATGATAACAAAATCCAGAAGTTAATCCAAGTGTTTACAAGGAGAAAGGCATGTGGACTGCATACCTAACACAGACAAATACTTGTAACTGAAGCAGAAGCTTTATTTGATAAGTGCTGTGACAGAAAGTGCATTGGGGAAGAAACGGGCAGTAGGCTCTGCCAGCTCTCTCATCTTTCAGGGAGAACAGCGAAAATCAACACTGTGGCGGTATTAATGGATCAACTCTTGCCTTTGATTCCTCTCTAGATACAACTAAAATATGACAGGATAAAGTTATACCTGGAAATCTTCTATGTCTCGCTGTTACACATAAGGAACCAGTATTCTAGAGACTGGGAAACTGGGCAAGGTGAAACTTGGGAACTTGTGCTTTATGTATTTTGGAGATACTACCTTGTTAATCTACTCTGAAGATTTTTCCC